CTGCAGCTCCCCTCTGCCGGTGGCTTCCTAGCACACGGAGCAGCCCTCGGAGGGAGACCGGACACGGAGCACACCCAGGCACACGGAGCAGCCCTCGGAGGAGACCGGACACGGAGCAGCCCTCGGAGGTGACTGTGGAGATGCCCAAGGGCAGACGACAGGCTCTTCCACCCCCAGAACTCTTTTCCTCTCTAACCCAGCATACTCAGTGAGGTTTTCCACCTTAGACCAGCGACCTTCCTACAGAGAGCTACCTACAGGGTGCTGGGTTTTACCACTGTACCATTTGGCTCCAACTCTAGAATTTGAATCTTTGAAAAAAATTAATTTGTTTTTACAAAAGGTCCATTTTCAGGACCACCAGCTGGCGTAATGGCTATGTCGCTGGACTCCCACGTAGTCAACCACGGTTCGAGTTCCGGACCCAGGGGCTTAAACTCACACCGGGCGCGTGTGCGTGCGTGCCCAAGATCCTAAGAGGAGATTGGAGGAGAAGGGATTGCGGCATGACCATCCCCCCTGTGGGGTGATTTCTCGCTTTCTGTCTCTCTGTCTCACTCTGTCTGTCTGGCAAGTACACGCGCCCTATAGCAAAAACCTCTCCAAAAAAAGAAAGAAAAAAAAATAATGAGGTCCATTTTCCTTAGAGATAAGGACAAACTATTTCATCTTACAGCCAAAAAGAAGCCTTTCTGTTCATCAAAGTGCATCCTAGGGCTCTGTGTGCAGGTGCCATGCCTCATGGCCATCCCACGGCAGAGAACACAAGCACAACAGGATGACAGCGAGGGCCGGGGGCAGCCACGCGGCCCGAACCCTACCGCACTGGCAAGGCACTGACTCTCGCCCACTGCTGTGCCCGCCCCCCGTGACAGCAGGCGACACCCCGGAGCACACCCAAGGACGGAGCACTCGCCTTCAGAGCGTTGATGACCGTGTCGATGTGCGTCTTGACGGCCTCGTGGGAGAACTCGGAGCTGGCCAGCGTGCACATGCTCTCCAGGGCCAGGTAGCGCAGGTTGGTCTCGCGGTGCTGCAGGAACTGGCCCAGAAGAAAAAAAAATAATGAGGTCCATTTTCCTTAGAGATAAGGACAAACTATTTCATCTTACAGCCAAAAAGAAGCCTTTCTGTTCATCAAAGTGCATCCTAGGGCTCTGTGTGCAGGTGCCATGCCTCATGGCCATCCCACGGCAGAGAACACAAGCACAACAGGATGACAGCGAGGGCCGGGGGCAGCCACGCGGCCCGAACCCTACCGCACTGGCAAGGCACTGACTCTCGCCCACTGCTGTGCCCGCCCCCCGTGACAGCAGGCGACACCCCGGAGCACACCCAAGGACGGAGCACTCGCCTTCAGAGCGTTGATGACCGTGTCGATGTGCGTCTTGACGGCCTCGTGGGAGAACTCGGAGCTGGCCAGCGTGCACATGCTCTCCAGGGCCAGGTAGCGCAGGTTGGTCTCGCGGTGCTGCAGGAACTGGCCCAGCTGGTTGCAGGCGCGGACGAGCAGGTTGGGCTCACTGCACAGAGGTCAGGGGGTTCCCTCAGCATGCGACATGCAGGCCTGGGCGGCCACGCGGGGGAAACATCGAGGGCCTCACATATGCCCTAAAGCTTCTACACACGTATCTGCAGAATTCCATCAGCTCCAGAGAGCTGAGGCCGAGAGGAACCTTCTTTAACCACGTCCTCGGCCTCAATTCTGTATCACAGAGCTTACAGAAGTTAACACTCCACCTTCACCAAACCACGCGCAAAACATGCTCTAGGCTAGAGGCAAACAGCCCAGAAAGGGCTGAACGGAGCCTGACCCATAGGAAGGTGAAGGCCACTGAACAGCTTAGCAACCAGGGAACACAGGTTAAACTTCTCAGTCTCTACCTTTGCCTCAGGATGTAGTTTCTCTTCAAGTATATTTAATAACCACAAAAGCATTCCTCAAACACTGGAAATTCCATTTTTAAGTTTCCTGTTGAAGAGTGACCCTTGGACTTTTTGTCACAAGAATCTACATTTGTGAAAAGATGTTGTAGTAGGGCCAGTCACGGTGGCACAGGTGACCGGGGACCGCTGTGTGACGCTGGAGCATGAGGGAGGCCCTGGGCTCAGCTCCCGGGCTGACCTGACACGCCACGAATGCCTACGACAGGGCGGCTGGAGGGCTGGGGGGACGACGGTGTGGCATGACCCATCAAGGGGCCTGCCCCACTGTT